AAAACGTATTTTATCCAGTAAAAATATCGCTATAACAAAATATTATCGGATGTACAAAATTAATAATCTACGTAGAGATAAAAGTTTAATAATAGCTATGAAAAGTATGAATGCCGCAGACATCACCACGCAACATGACAATTTGTTCAAGGTTTGAGGTTGTGTATTTCCAGAATCGATTTTCAAGCTCCGATCATCAGTGGAAATACGGTACGTTGGTAGGACCCTTCAACACCTGAGCGCACGTATCAAGCAGCACTTACCACTTCACATGCTGCCGGACGCTGCAAAAGCGAAGCGCCCTAAGCGGGGAAGACCACGCAAGAACCCGCTCCCTCTGCCACCGACACAGCCAGAGCAAGTCGAACACACGGTGGTGGATCACTAAGCCAACCGAATGTGCCTTCTCCACCGTTGCCCTTGCCGCCACCGAAGCCACCACCAGTGCCGTTGGTGGCTGGGGTTGGGGTGGAGTCGGCAACAACGACAGTACCGCCAATCACAGAAATTGATCCCATTTCTGTGACACAGTATCCGGTTGTGCGGACACCGCAGCACCCTCCGGCGCTTGATCCGTGCGTCCAGAGACCACGGAGGTCGACCGCCAATTATTCAACCGAAATATATGCTAGGAATGGCCAAGGCCCACGCGGAGCATCGAAGGAGAACAGAAGCCAGAAGCTAAACGGAACACAATCTCGAGACGTAGATGAGGTAAGGACAGTGGCACGGGACAGACGTAGGAAGGAGAACACGGATGGTATCAGACGACTGACTGGTGGTGAATATGAGTTGGGTGATGATGCGGCGGATGACGAAGATACAGATGACGACGAGGCGGATGATGACGAGGCGGCGGATGACGACGAGGCGGATGACGATGAGATGGCTGGTGGTGATGGTGATAAAACGGACGAGGAGGAGACAGGTGGCAGGGAAGGTGATGGAGCTGATGAGGGTAAAATTCGTAAGAAGTCAGCTGTGTACTTGCATTTGTTATCTCGTCCTGATTGTTTGAGTGTGTATGATGATTCCCACTTCTCTGTACTGTGTCGTGCCCGTTATGTCCAGCAGTTGAAAGTCCTTGAAGCTGTTTGTATTCGTACGCATAAGCCCGATTTGTGTTAGCAAAAAGAACATGTTGTAGCACTTAGGTTATTTTCGTGAGTTTGCACCCCGTGTTCATGAGTTGTTTCTGCACTGTTCATGCCCATTTGTCACACTTACTCTTTATCTTAGCCTTCAGTGAGGTGAGGCCCCCTCACTTTTTGTAATACGTACGCGTCATGTGTCACACTTCTCGATCTCGGGGATTGGATTTTAAACCTTTGTTTTTCCCTTGATCACTTTAGTTCCGTATTTGCACTGATGATCGGAGCTTGAAAATCGACTCTCGAAACACACAGTCTCAAACCTTGAACAAATTGTCATGTTGCGTGGTGATGTCTGCGGCATTCCTACTTTTCATAGCTATTACTTGAAGTATTATGGGATGTAATGATAATATTATCGGATCATATTATGATGGCAACAAAGAATCAAAACATGCATAACACACTATAATATTATTATTATCGGCTCTAGTGATAACTTTAACACACATGTGACATGTAGCAATAATATCAAAGGCCCTATTTTTTACTTGCTTCACGTTGCTTATTATTAATTTTTGTAGTGATACATGTACATGTACATAACAGAATGTTTGTATGGATATGCGGGCACTGTCAACTATGTAGCGTGCTCATTTGTCAAAACGCCATGCTGGAAGTATTTCCTTGCCTTTCATGTGTCGATCGGTAAAGAAGAAAAAAATCGATCGTGTCGCATTATAGTGATGCATCGGTTATAGTGATAAAATCACGGAAATCAAAAGGGTACGCTATAGCCGATACAGACTGTATTCTTAGGGGTCACCAAGTCCAAGGTTGCCAACCATTTCTTCCAAAGGAGAAGTTCTGGGTTGGTGTGTTGTAGGCCTGGGCGAATAATAGGGGTGTGCGGATAATGCTCGAAAAGGTGGCAGATTCTGCTCGAAAAGCAGTGAAATTGGCAGAGCCATACAAACCTTATGGCGGGCAATTCCTCGAATTCTGCTGCATTTCTTTATCCACATATCAAACATGCATGAAGCTTACCAGAAAAAGTACCGAATTCTGCCAATTTCTCTGCCGGTAGTTATTTTGCGGGATAATGCTAATGGCAATGCCAGAAAAACTGTATCATAAATTATTTAGGGTCCAGCGGATAATGCCGGCATTATATTCGGCATTATGAGACTAGCCGAGCATCAGATCAGAGCATTAGAAAGGAACAACACGAGCAGTGTGAGGTTTGAGCGGCATAACGAGTTTCATAGTGGATAATAATTCGGGAAATCTCAGGTTTTTGGCAACCATCTGCTAAAGCCATGAGGTGCAAACACCTTTAGCACTAATGCTACATTTACCTGACTACATACAATCATGTACGTCATGTAATGCCATTGCTACATAAAGTCTTTATGTAGCAATGTAGTCGGGTCAGAAATGTATAGGTGATGTAGCATGCATGCCCAACGTTGCAACTGAGGCTGTTAGTGTTACACAAACTGATCCATAACGATGATTTACGAGAAGTTCTTTTTTAGAAATCATGGAGAGCCATGGAGAAGACTAGACGTACGCGAAGTGAATATCAAACAGACGAAGAGGAGTTTTCCTGTTATGCCATAGGCTCTGGCCATAGCATCTCTAGCGATACTGAAGTAAACACTGATCCATTGTGTGTGTGTTAAATTTGGACATAGATGAAGGAGCGGCTATGAACAGAAAGAGCTTGTTCCAAATAACTGCCTTTGCCGAGTCCAGCTCAGCAGGCTCGAAAGGAACTAGAATTTCTCATGGTCGCAGCACCAAGTCGATTTGAGTGCTCAGCAGCGCGTGTCTTACTTTCCTGGTGAAGCACGTACAGTTCGCCGTGGACGATTGTAATGCAAGGCCTACAGTCAAGTGCCATCAGAAAAGAAGAGCATTGTGGCCAACCATTTGTCTCCACGCAACCTTAGGAGAAGAAGACAGCGCAAGCAGAGGATATACAGCGGCAAAATAACTTCTGACCACATGTTTTCAGGATTTCCGCAAATGGGAGGGATCTTGATCTGAGATCGTCTCTCAGGAACTGGCCTCACGCGAGCTGTTTCGGATGAAGAAATATTTCACAGAGTGGAAGCAGTGACAGCTTGTCTGCAGGCACTGCCGCAGGAATACCACTTCCCATGATAAGCTTCCAGCATCCAAATGATCACCAGCAATAATGGTTTCACCTCTCACTACATGGATAAGCAAGGGAAAAGATTTGATTCACCCACTATTCAGCCACAGCCCTGCATCAAAGTTGCAATGGAGAGCAGCCAATGGAGAAGCGATCATGTCTTATAGTCCTAAGGAGTGGTGGAGCTCGTGAGAGATATTGTAGCAGCTTCAGAGGCAGATCGACTAAATGCATCCTTTCCTGGAATGTTGACAATGTGCAGCCTTTCTTCCATTCTTAGGGGCCGCCAAGTCCAAGGTTGCCAACCGTTTCTTCGAAAGTAGAAGTTCTGGGTTGGTGTGTTGGGTAGGTTTATCACAATAATTATTGATGTAAAAAAAAGAGAAGAAAACACATGAGAACGAGTTATGCAGCAACTATCCACGACCGTAACAAGATGATAAAATGATAACATGTCTCAGTAGCCTGTCAGTTTTGTGCCATATTATCGCTCGGTCTGACTCTTTATCATCTTGTTACAGTCGTGGATAGTTGCTGCATAACTCGCTCTCATGTGTTTGCTTCTCTTACATTAAATTTTTATTACTGGCTCAGTATCTATTATTGAATGCACATTGAGCAAATAAATGCTGGTCACCGAAGATTGACACACAGAGTACATAGGGACAGGCAGGCTAATGAATGGAACACCGCACACACTTCCATGTCTCAACCTTTGTCATTGTTCATTCTACACTTTCCATTTCTTCTTTATAATGACCGTTTTCACTGTTTGTTTTTTACTAAAAGCCATATGGTGCACGCAATGGGAACATGCAGCAGCCATGGTGGGGCAAGGCGCTCCGTCGACCAACTTGTCTCGACATCGTCATGCTCTGGACACACGAGATAAAGTGGAAGCATGAGGGAAAGAGAAAGAATAGGGGAAGCGGGAGGTGAGGGGAGAGAGAGAGAGAGAGAGAGAGAGAGAGAGAGAGAGAGAGAGAGAGAGAGAGAGAGAGTATATGAGAGCGTGTAGTTCAGCAAATTCATGTAGCAGGTTTACAATGCGTGGGTTGCTTGCATCCAGTTGCTGGTCAACAGGTGATGGTGTTCTGACTTATGCTACTACCCGCTGCTTTCCTACGAAAAAGTCTCTTTCTCATTTTATTTCTACTGCCTATAAGGCTATTATAGATCCAACTCTCTTCCCCTGCTTCTTCGGTTCAGTCGCGATCCGCTCAGAGACAGTAGTTCTTTTTTCAGAGACAGTAGTCAGCTTTACATTCCAGGTGGGCACGAGAGTACATTTCTAAAAGCCCGAAAACAGTTTGTTCATTTCTCTCATTTGTGGTTGGGGGCGGCGGGTGCAGTGCCCTTGGCGGATGCAGTGCCCTCGGCGGGTGCAGTGCCCTCCCCACTCACCTCTTCATACCTAACTGTTATCTCATTCATTACCCCGTCTTCACCCTTCTCCTTCATACCCCCTTCCCTTCCCCTATCACCTTCTCCTTCACTTCCTCCCCTTCAGTTACTTTCCTTCCTCGTCTCCTTGAGCTTACTCCCTTCACGTGCACCCCTTCACCCCATCGACATACCAATCCTTCTCCCACCATCACCTTACTCCAGTTCCACTCTTACTTTCCCTTCCTTCCCTCCTTCCCAGGCCGACACTCTTATATCCAGACATGTAGCACAACATGACTGGATACAGTGTGTTGACAAGAGAGAGGGGGCATAGAGAAAATTCTTGTACATAGTCAAGTACATAGATCAGCCAGCACCATACCAAGGTAAGCATGGAGCTGATGTCCCTCTAAGACATGCTATCATTCAGTCAGTCAGTCAGTATAGTGGGATAGAAAATAATCAATGCACACCAGCCAGGATATGGGGCCGGGTGGGTGGGGGAGGGGGTAGGGGTAGCGAGGACATAAATGCAGAACAGGTACTGCCGACATTGACATAGACAAATTGAAAACATGATAGAGGTTTGATCCGAGACAAGAAACGAGAGAGAGAGAGAGAGAGAGAGAGAGAGAGAGAGAGAGAGAGAGAGAGAGAGAGAGAGAGAGAGCAAATCAGGTGTTCACCACAGAACGGGGCTCCAGTGGATCATTGCAGTAATAGCTCTGAAAGGCAGACACAGAGCAATGTGCAGCAATCACGTGACAGCGGACACGGCTAGCAGCATATACAAAAATATGGGGAAGCGTTCGTACGATGCAGGTGCAAAGCGCGTACGGGCACCGCAAGGAGGGAAAATACATGATTTAGGCGGTAAACTAGTTTTGGAAAGTGGCGATCAACCCATAGCATTGAGGATATCAAGATCAGACGTACAAACACAGTCAGCGGCACACTGTATTGAGACCTAATAGACTAGTGCTTGAAATAGCTAATACATGTAGTAGCTATCTGGGTATTGGAAGCAAGTACTTCAAGCCCACAAGCAAGTGTGTGTGCCCTCCTACACACTCACGCACACACACACACACACACACACACACACACACACACACACACACACACACACACACACACACACACACACACACACACACACAGATACTGCTGAGTGGCACGTGAAAGAGCAACGGGCATCAAAAACAAGATTACCAGCTTGTAGCACATTGTACTGTACTGACTGGGGCAAAGTCAGTCAGTCAGGAATGATTATAGTGAACAGCATGCAGGGAATAACAGAGCATGGCCAGGGTGTGTCATCGTGACAAAGCAAAGGCAGTGTATAGGACTATGTACACACTAGCGGAACTAAACCTGAACTGAAGCTGCTGATTATGAAATACAAATACGAATACGAATACACAACATACGCACACGTGTGTAGACTCACAAAACACACGTGTGTGCACGCGCACACACACGCACACACACACACACACACACACACACACACACACACACACACGCACACACACACACACACACACAGGCACACGCGTGCGCGGACACCCGCGCCCACCTAGTGCGACTGACATCCCCGACTTGTCTCTTGTACAGAACTGGTGGTGATAACTTGACAGTTGAATTTCGCCGGACGACGTCACTGAATTACCTGTGCATGGTTAGATCATAGAAAGAAAGCAGCGCAGGGACAAAATGTGAAAACAGGCTTCAGCTTTGCAATTCGGACTGCCTCCAGCACAGCCAGGTGAGATTTGTTTCATATTATTTTCCGTGCTCAAGTTTGAATATAGAAGTGTTAGTGAGTGTTGTGTTAGTGCGAGCACCACACCACACATCTCATATACATCTACAGTCCATTCATCGGAGACAGTCCCGCTAGCTTTTGAAAGTCTGATTTGGGCCGAATTGAGGATTAAAAGCCCACTTTAAATCTCAAAATCTGGGTTTGGGATCTGCTTCTCCGCACATTTTGCCATGGAATACCTGTCCTAATTTTGTAAAACCTGGCTGAATTTCTATTTCCCTGTCCTTGGACTTTTCTCGCCTCAAATGTGGCAAGGAGTAATTGCACGGGTCACACAATGCAGGATGTACTGTTGTTTTCACGATATCTACAACTTTGTGCCGGAGGCACCAAAAAGTTAGGGTGCCAGTTTCCAATGAATGGACCGTAGCTATCTGTGCTGCAAGTAGTGTATAGCAATCGTTGTAGACTGGCATTTTGGCCTATGTCAACAGGAGTACGTGTGAAGCAGTTGTTACTATTTTGACATTGAAGTACAATAACAGTACCCAGTGTTGTACGGTCCTGATTAAAACTACAGAAAAATATTTACTATTAATTTTTGTTTGCTGGTTCTGGCTTCGCTGTGTAGCTGGTGTCACCTGCAAGCTTGGTGTCTTCATGGTCTATTCTATTCTGAGTGTACACTACAATGCATGCATGCACGCATACACCACTATAGTCTGGCCACATGGGACACACGACCGGAAATGAACATTAATGACGGAGACAACCCCGTTGTGCACGAATCGGCTGGGTTGAATTTCTAGTAAATAATGTCAGGCCCGCCGGAACCGGTCCAGTTGGTCAGGTTGACACCGGACCAGCTTTTTGGCCATCAACACATGTTTCTCACTGTGGAGGGCATGTGTACACGCCATATCATACACAAACTGTGTGAAAGGTCATGTTTCTCACTGTGGAGGTCATGTGGACACGCCATATCATACACAAACTGTGTGAAAGGCCATGTTTCTCACTGTGGAGGGCATGTGGACACGCCATATCATACACAAACTGTGTGAAAGGCCATGTTTCTCACTGTGGAGGGCATGTGTACACGCCATATCATACACAAACTGTGTGAAAGGCCATGTTTCAGCGGGACCAATGGAAAGCCTGCTTTTGGCCGTCCTGAAGGTGATCCAGCCATGGTCAAACAGGCCGGTGCACAGGCTGCTAAGGTCATGTCAGTAGAGCAAATAAAATTTCAATCTGGATAGTCTTTAGTAGTACCGTAAAGTACCGCCAGAGCGCCCCACCATCTCGTCCTTTCATGGTCGTATTGTGGAGGTGGTCTCCTGTCCGTAGATCATACGACACGAACTTTGTACACAATCATATTGCACGTTCTGCAGACAATCCGTACCTTCGAGCGGACACGAGCTCCACACAAAAACCTGCTTAGGGAGCATGTCATAAGTTCGCATTTTGTTTCTAAACGTAACGCATTTCGAAACTGGGGTAGGGGGGTAGCGCCCTTTTCGAATAGAAAAAAATGACTGTTGGCACATTTTCTGGAACTGTACAATCTACTACCGTGCTAGATCCCTGCAGCAAAAGAGTGTGTTTAGGTGGAGATCTACCTATGTTTGCAGATCAGCTAACCCTTGCACTGCATGCATGCAGGCTACTTAGAGGTGTCAAATGTCACACCAGCCTGATCAAACCGTGTACAGTGTACCTAGCCAGCGTTTACAGCAGTACAGTTGTTGTGCAGGAAGTCTATGTTTATGTGTGCGTGTACATGTCATTGATTGTACTTGTACTCAGTAAATGCGGTACTACTGACTGAGTCTGTACGCCATTCACGACCGCTCTAGCAAAACATTCATATACATGTACATGTACATGTACAATCATGTACATAAGCATAGCATAGCATAGCATAGCATAGCATAGCATAGCATGGACGTGTACATGTACATAAGCATAGCATAGCATGGGGCCGCATGGACGTGTACAGTAGATAAACACAGAAAATGTGCGATAAGACTTTCGAATAGAGGGGGGAGGTAGGGGGTAAAGTCTATTCGAAATGCGTTACGTTTGCAAAATAAATGCGAACTTATGAGATGCTCCCTTAGGCCCGTAACTTGACCTTAGTACACTAAGGTTCTCACACCGTACAAACGTCGTTGCACTCTGCCATACGATTTTTTTTCCCTGGCTGTAAAATCAAGGTGAGGTGCTCCAGCGAGACGGGGCGCTCTGGCGGTACTTTACGGTATGCGCGGTGACCGTGTAACGTGTTCTCTGGAGTGTGATCTTAGGCATAACCGTCTGTCTCGGGTCAAGTGAGATTTGAGCTCCAGGACGTATTTCGGTCGAATGGCAGTTGTCCTGTGCAAGATCAATACCTTTTTGTTTAACGGTTTAGTAATAACTATTGACCACCTCTTGGGGCCAGAGAAACTGGTCTTTAGTTGCAGGTGGTCCTTAGTTGCAGGTGGTCCTTAGTTAAAGGTTTGCACCCCACAACCATATATTATGAATGAGAGACCGTCCGTGCCTGGCGAAGTGGTCTGTAGTACCAGGCTGGTCGCTAGTGACAGTGGTCTGTAGTACCAGGCTGGTCGCTAGTTACGGTGGTCTGTAGTACCAGGCTGGTTGCTAGTGACGGTGGTCTGTAGTACCAGGCTGGGCGCTAGTGACGGTGGTCTGTAGTACCAGGCTGGTTGCTAGTGACGGTGGTCTGTAGTACCAGGCTGGTTGCTAGTGACGGTGGTCTGTAGTACCAGGCTGGTTGCTAGTGAAGGTGGTCTTTAGTTACAGGTTTTACTGTAACACGTCCATCACTGCACCAGTGTGCCGCTGTGCCCAATAAAGAAACTGAACAAAAATCAAGGCAGCCTCATCCACACCACTCACAAGCTCACATACGCAGACACAGACAGCAGACTCACGGTCCCTCGTGTACTAACTTTCAAAAGATGCTCTTACCGGAGAAGCGTACGCATCTCGTCAGCCAGCGGTGGGTGAACATGGGTGCGATGGCATCGCAGAGCTTGGCGTAGGTATCCCGTCCGCATGCACGTATGCAGTTTATCACGTACACGTGATGCTCCTCCGTTCCGCTCTGCTTCTCACGGCAAATTAACTCCTCGATGTCTTCCAACCGCAGAAGCCCTTGGCCCTGGACACAGTTGCGAAACTTGGCGCAGGGAATCTTGTACAGCTTGGGCAGAATGACGTGTACAAACTCTTGCCGGTCGAATGGATTAACTGCAGAAGAATGACAGCAATATAACAAATAAAAAACATTTCAGGCAAACAAAAACACATTGGATCATCACACACGCATTGGACTATCTTGCACCACAGAGTTGTCGTTGTCAATGGCATCATCTTTCATCCTATTCATAACACTCGCATATTCTGATTCTTCATGTGGACTGCGCATCGGGGGCATGAACCAAAAAGCGATCAGTAGCCAACTCGGTCACCAATGGTGGCAAATACAGTAAAACTGCCCAGATCCGGGCCGGTTGGGACAAAGCACTGCCCGTATTAAACTGGGAATTACCCGTGAATTCAGAACAGATATGCATGTACTTACCGCATGCACTGGGGAAACCTGTTTTCATGTCAATCAAATCAATCGTATAGAACTGTGTTTGCGGCAGTTTAGCGTTGAAAGTCAAGATTTGTGCCCCTAGATGGGTTAGAAAGGTACCCAGTAGATGGGTGTGTGTGGATTAGGTGCGTCCGGGTTAGAGGGCAGTTTTACTGTATACTGAATAGCACACCCGACTGCCGTCATGTCCCTGTACAGTAGTGACGGGCGCCGAAGAACGGAGCGCCGAAGAATGTCCAGGCTAGAATTTCTCCAATTTTAAGAACGGTCTAGGCTGGATCCTTTGCAGATAAGAACAGAGACCGTAAATGCACACTATAATGTACACTCAGACGTTTAAGTCTGCATAGATGTTCGTGCAACACTACCATCGAATAAGAACGAAAAAGATAAGAACGGGCTAGGCTAGAACCCTGACCCCCCACCAGTTCTTCAGCGCCCGACAGTACTGCATTGGCTATGCGATTACATCACCAGTTGAGATGCTTTGGCACAGTTGCGGCACAGCGGTGCGCTAGCGATGCACTAGCCAGTCACTCTGCTTGCATGTACACGGTGTCCATAAGCGGTTCCGCGGTTTTTTTTTGTTAGCACCCATAATCGGTTCCGGATGCGGCTAGTGGGGTTGCTCGGCACTTGTGCCAGTGGTTGTATACGTTGTCGCTGTATACTTTATTTTAATAGTGGAAATCAAAACAGGCATGATGCCTAATAAGTAATAACAATGGACCCACTGTGTGGTTGAGAGACTTATCCACTCACCCCCACCGTTAGGCGCTGGACACGATGCCGCTAGGGTTTACCGGGTGTTAGCGGCTGTCGTGAGTTCCCTTCGGGAACGGACACGATAATTTAGTAAACTTACTCTCTTTAAAAATAAAGAGGATCATAAGTTTACAAGTAAGTATATATCAGTTTTGTCAAACACTAACGGTTATAAGCAGAATGCTGTTGACGAATGTTGAGTACAAAAAATACAACAATTAGCACAGTGATGAGATACTGACATTCAACGTCCTGATGCTTAGCTGAATCACGTCTAGAATTTTTTCCTACTTTTTATCTACCGGTGTTCCGGAATTCTGCTGACTCATCATTATGACTTCTCAGTTTCGCAAAACATCTTTCCTGGCTGACACATTTATATTCTATGGTTTCCAAATGATAATTCCAAATGATCCCGCGGATGCAGATATGCTGCAGTACTCTGCTACTCGGTGGTAGAGTGCCTGCGCACAGGGCTGGCGGGGTATCGACCGTGATCTACTGTCTGTCCTGCTTACCTGTTCAGCTCTGCTCTGTGATCTGCAGGCCATGATGACCTTGGCCCCCATCCTGGCCAGGGCTTTCGTAGTCTCATACTCATAGCCCGTACCGGAGTTAGCACCGGTTACGATTGCAACACGACCACTCAGCTCAGGTCCATTGTAGTGTACGACAAATTAGCGCCCATAACTCGATTTCTGGCGAGCTAGCGAGCAACAGCATCTGCAGAGGGAATTATGTCAGGCGCAACTACAGACTGTGCCTATTTGTGGGGGCCTTTCCTGCTGATCTAACTTCCCCGTATGGTGGGACTGCAGCTGAGGCCGTGAGAGATTGCCGACCGTCTCACCGTTGCTCCATGCGTGACTTATTTCCGACTCAGCCTCGGACCTTTCAAAACTAGTTACTTGCAAAAGGCCAACCCTAGCCCTGTAGATTTGTGACTGGTGAATGACAGCTAGTATGTATTATGTAGCAGCGATGTTTTTCGTCGTTCGTCACCATGGTCACCTGCGGTAGTAGATCTACATGTAATGAGACGTAGACTGAGTAGATCTACGAGTAGATCTACTCAGTCTACGTGTACTATTTTCTGTACTCTTCAGCTTCATTCAGATCATGGCATGCACTACAATACATGCGTGGAGAAGGAGTACTGTCTGTAGCGTTGCCGGAGTTGGACCGGCTAGCGCGTTTGCCTTCTTTGGTGCTTGATTTTGTTCCTGCCGGCTCGTACTACGTCGTAGATCTACTCGTCTATGTACATTTTTTCATAATCCGACGCCAATGAGGCGCCGGATCCGATCGCACCCCGCGAAAAGCGAAAATTGTAAACCCATCTTTCAGTTTGTTTGTTTCATTCAAACCAAATCAAGGAAGGCTAGGCTCAGCGGGTGGATATTTCTCCCAGATAAATACCAGGGAGTAGTACAATACTACTCCCTGATAAATACTACATGTATCAAGAGTCCATAAACACACTCTTGGTACTAGACAGTAATTGGATAATACCATGAAGTCGTCCAAACGGCCTTGGAACTCCAGAAAGTCACCTGGTGCCTCATCACATGGCGGAAAGACCACGACCAGCTCTTCAAAGCAGACCCCGGAGAAAGGCGGACAGCAACAGGCCACGCTAGCGCGCTCTCCAAATTCTTCAACGTGAAGGTGAGCGGCATCCAGACGGGATTGGGACGTTGTGAAGCCCAGCTAGCAGTACTGTATGCTTCTCGACCGTTCCTCTGTGATGAGTAGAGACTTGCTCGTGGGCAAATGGTGTACATCCTGTAGCGTTCATGTCGTTTTCGTGACTGAAAATGATTCCGGGAAAATCAAGCATAATAATTTTCGTGAATTCGAACAGAAATATACCAATGCAGTACAGTTTGTACAACTAAGGCTGTACTGCGTGCACGGCCAGTTTTCCGTTTTCAGTCCCGCATTTCTTTTTTCGTTTTCGTGCGTTTACACGATCAAAGCTGATCCGAGGTGGTCTCCGTTTGTATCGTTTTCGCGCGTCTACACGGGACGTGACGGGAGCAAAGGATCCGCAAAAGTTCGTCATGTGCCAAGTGTTGTCGTGGAAGCACCAATCACACTCAAGCAATAATTGAGAACAGGCCACAAAACAACACTCGTCACATGATGAAAATTATAAAAACAATTTTTTGGATTGTCGGATCCGTGTAAACGGCCGAAAACGAAACACACGTGCCGGAAAACGAGGCCAGCATACCGTTTCGACTATTTACACACCCAAATTTATCCGGCAGAACTTTTCCGTTTTCAAATTCTTCCACCTTGGCCAGCGTTTTGGTTTTCTTCCGTTTTGGTGTACAACTTTTACTTTTTGCTCTTCGTACCGTGTAAATGAACCATGCATCCGAAAGGATTTTCTTGCGTTTCACCCCCAGCGTTGTCGTGTAAACGCAGCCTAAATCCATGCTTCGATTTGGCCGAGTGAATAAGGTCGCGCTCAGGCGTGCTCTGGCTCAGATGAGTATGTAACTCCTAAACTAACTGCACTGGTTGTGCATGTCAGCAGATGTGCAACAGAAAGCCGTAGAGGAAACACGTGCTTGTGCGTTGTGTACATGTCCATGTCATGATGTGTGTGTGTGTGTGTGTGTGTGTGTGTGTATGTGTGTGTGTGTGTGTGTGTGTGTGTGTGTGTGTGTGTACGCACGTGGGAATGCAACCCTTCCTCTTTCTCGACAGCCTCCGTCAACACCGGTGGCGACAACAGCAGCAGCAAAAACATCAGCTGTTCAAGTATATGTAGTGTATGATGATGGTGGTAGTCATGACAACAGCAGCAATGGCAGTCATCCTGTTGCAGGTATAGGAAGTATATACATGTATACAGTCAGTTAGACTATGCAGCTGCAGCTGCAGAAAAAGTGCTCAACATCCAAATTCTTGGGGTTTCTTGAATATTGTTTGCCTGATGATTGCACACAGTGCATGAAACTCAGAGTAGCAACACACTACGAGTGATCCATTGTTTGTTGACACATGTATACAGTCATGTACATGCATTTACCTGCATCTATAGACAGCAGTACTAACTACAGCTTGGGTTTACCGGCTGTTAGCGGCCGTCGTGAGTTCCCTTCGGGAATGGACACAATTTTTTTTACTAACTACAGGAGTATAGCGTTTGTCTTTGAGACGCACATTGTTCAGACATTAAAGAGGTTACACGTAACGTAATTACGTTAGTAAAAAACGTAGTCGATCTACGGAAAGTCTTACGTAAACTGCATGCGCATCTGTGTTCCGCCATACAGAGTTTTCAAATCACGTAGCTGCCCTTGGCAACTCCGAACGCAGCAGTGTACGACCAGATCGACCTGGGGAGGGAGTCATAAGTTTGTGCCCCAATCCACTTACGGACCAGCTACGTTATCACAGCCCTATCTACGTACTCTACGTAGACAATTTTCCGTAAGTGGAGTGCAAACTCGCGATTTCACGGTTTTTTCCTGCCCACTAACGTAGTGCGGAACCTCTCTAATGTTGAGATATTGTTCAGAAGGTTGGTTGGGGATTGGCTGTATATTGTAGCATGCGCGTAGCGTGTATCTTGCTGTATCTTGTAGCACATGCATCTACATGTGCTACAAGATACAGTATAGTAGCTGAAAAATGTACTTACCTTCTGCGTGCGTGTGTGTGTGTGTGTGTGTGTGTGTGTGTGTGTGTGTGTGTGTGTGTGTGTGTGTGTGTGTATGTGTGCACGCGTGCGTATGTTTACTTGAATGCTCATGTCCACGCGCATGCACTCGTCATTTAGCATCTGCAGAGCTTGCACCCGCCACGCTGACTCGCCTGCAGCGATTCCAGCAGCGCATGCCATTGCAAAGCGGCGCATCGTCCACCACCTCAGCATCCTCCAGCTCCAGTTACAGCCGTGCTTGCCAGCAGGCCGCATGTGCTAAAGGCTCCAGCCTACGGCTATCTGGTTCGCTGGAGGCTGGCGTGAGTGACGGCAGAGCTGATGATGTAGTGGAGAGCCCTACCCGTGCTGCTGCTGCTGCTGCTGCTGCTACGACTCTTACCTGTACCTGTACTGGTGGTGATGATGATGAAGACCTGGTGTTGATGAGCTCGACCACGCAGCGAAGTCGACCGCAGCCAGTGGCTTCTCCTCCGGCCAAGCGTGTGCGACGGCCAGCTTCATCTGCACCGTCGTCGTCGTCAACGTCGGATATCAAAGGTAGGAGCGATACGCGTGTCAAGCGTGTGTGTCACGTGTGTGTGTGTGTGTGTGTGTGTGTGTGTGTGTGTGTGTGTCCCATATGGTGCAGTGGTATGTGCAGTCGATTTCCAATCGAGAGATTGTGGGTTCAATTCCCGATGATTATGGTGGCACACGTCTTTCTTCTCTTTCTCGGACTCTTCCTGACTTTTCTTTCATTCTCCTGGGTGGTTACCATGGTTACCTACAGCCAGTGTGTGCTGGAGTATGTGGTGTGGTGTGTGTAGAAAAAATGGAAAATGAAAAATAGGGATTCACTGGCCAGAAAAAGTCACTTCAAACAGCTGTGTGGTGGATACCAGGCTAAAGTTAGTGGCGGTCAATTCATCAGCCTTGCAAGCTGTTGAATGGTGTAATCCCAGCACAAGTTGCTATGTCTAACATAGCTGTTCGCTATCATCGCTTCCGCGATGGGCATGTGTGAGGTCTGAGGTGTGATGCTAAGTTTTGCGTGTGTGTGTTGTGTGTGTGTGTGTGTGTTGTGTGTGTGTGTCCCATATCGTGCAGTGGTATGTGCAGTCGATTTCCAATCGAGAGATTGCGGGTTCAATTCCCGACGATTATGGTGGCACACGTCTTTCTTCTCTTTCTCGGACTCTTCCTGACTTTTCTTTCATTCTCCTGGGTGGTTACCATGGTTACCAACAGCCAGTGTGTGCCGGAGTATGTGGTGTGGTGTGTGTAGAAAAAAATGGAAAAATGAAAAATAGGGATTCACTGGCCAAGAAAAGTCACTTCAAACAGCTGTGTGGTGGATACCAGGCTAAAAATAGTGGCGGTCAATTCATCAGCCTTGCAAGCTGTTGAATGGTGTAATCCCAGCACAAGTTGCTATGTCTAACATAGCTGTTCGCTATCATCGCTTCCGCGATGGGCATGTGTGAGGTCTGAGGTGTGATGCTAAGTTTTTCGTGTGTGTGTGTTGTGTGTGTGTGTTGTGTGTGTGTGTGTGTGTTGTGTGTGTGTGTGTACAGTACAGTCTATGGCCAAAGAACTGGGAGGAGGTCATCCTCCTAGCCTAGACTGTTCTTATTTTCATGTATTACAGTCTATGCACTGTTGAGTCACCGTGTATACATTGGTATGCTGTGCTTGGTGAAATTCTAGCCTGGTCGGTCTTCGGTGCCCGGCGGTACTGTATGCATGCACCCAATTCCCAATCTCCTAGCTTAGGATTCAGGAGTTACAACTCAGTGCATCGTGTACTAGAACATTGGGCTGTGTTCTGTCACGCGCACACGGATTAATTTAGAAACCTGGCCAGATTATGTAAAACCTGACCAAAAAGCAAATTCCTTTGTGCTTGGCTTTTCCGCTCTTGAATGTGCTTGTATGCAGGGAACTTCACTCTGGTCTTCAAGGAAGAATGTGTAATAAGCCCATTGCGCAATGACGTAATTTGCACCAGCAACACCCCACACAGTCACCTGTGCCTGGGGTTGATTGTGTACGGGTGTTGAACAGTGCACCGGTGCATTGCTGATCCCAATGATTATGTACGGGTGTTGAACAGTGCACCGGTGCATTGCTGATCCCAGTGTACTCTTGAGTCTTACATGCATTACTCATCTTATACCTTCCATATTTGGCAATGTGCAATGGGCTTATTGTTGAATGTTTCTCTCAGTTTACGATAACACAATGCATAACAAATTGTGGTTGCTAGTTTCTTTCTATGCACACTGTTAGTTTCTCTTATGCATACTCATCTCTCCTGTTTTTTTGTTTTTGTTTTTCTGTTGGCAGCTTCCATTGCCGCATTTTCGTCCCCCGCCAGTCACGTTTCCACGTCGGTGTCTTCAAGGACGCTATTGTCTCTGTCCTCGGTATCATCACGGCTGACCTCTTCGCCATCGTCCAGCAGCTGTGCTAAGGGTTCGCCGTACACACCGCTTGAGAAGCAGTACATGGCGATACGCGACGCAAACCCCGGCGTACTGCTCATGGTCGAGTGCGGGTACAAGTTCCGCTTCTTTGGCGAGGATGCCGAGGTAGGGTGCTCTTCGGCGAGCGTTTCTACGTGTGTGAGCATGTGCTACAGTAAGAGATGAAGAAACAGACAGAGACATATGGACAGACTGAGACAGATGGACAGACAGAGAGACAAATGGACAGGGAGGCAGAGAGAGAGAGAGAGAGACAGACATAGAGAGAGAGAGACATAGAGAGAGAGAGACATAGAGAGAGAGAGACATAGAGAAAGAGAGATGAGATAAGAGAGCCAAGAAGCAACCAGGCAGTCGCGGCTATGAGGGCCGGGGAACGTTTCGCCCGATATTAATGCTTAGATTTTTTCTGTCTTAGAAGTTGTTGTCTTATTACTATTCTGCTGGTTTGGGTGCAATGTTGCCTTCTCACCTAGAGGGTGTATATTTAGCTGCTGCAGTTTCACTGGAAAAGATCGGCTTGTCAATTGGTATGATAGTTCGTGGGAATCCAGTCCCAACTCTGTGTGGTATGTTTACCGGTAGTTGTCCTTGTCCGTCTGGCTGGCCGGCTGGCTGGCCGCGTTGTGATCCCTCTACAACAGGTTGCGTGGCTTGTCTATCTACCATTCTATTTTTCATCCGTCTGTCTGTCTGTGTGTGTGTGTGTCTCTCTCTGTGTTTGTCCGACTGTTTGTGCATATGGTAACGTTATTTGTCCGCTGCACTGTTTGCAAGCTTGTGTGTTTGTGTCAAGTTTCACCCATCCTCCCTCCTGTCTGTGACATCTCCTGTTATCACCGTGCAGGTTGCAGCTCGTGTTCTCAACATCTTCTGCCACCCGATGCACAACTTCATGAACGCCAGCATACCCATGCAGCGACTGCTTGTTCACGTGCGTAGGTACGGTTAGAACTGCTGTGCTCGCTTGTCTCTCGTCGTCTTTGGCGTGTAGGCCTGGCGGAACCGGTCCGGTTGGCCAGGCCATGGCTGGACCAGCGTTTTGGTCAGGCCATGGCCGGACCAACGTTTTGCCCACCTACATGTCTACTGCTGAGGAGGTCATGTGTATACCCTCCATATCATACACAAACTGTATGAAAGTCATGTGTATACCCTCCATATCATACACAAACTGTATGAAAGTCATGTGACTACCCTCCATATCATACACAAACTGTATGAAAGTCATGTGACTACCCTCCATATCATACACAAAGTCACAAACTGTATGAAAGTCATGTGACTACCCTCCATATCATACACAATCTGTATGAAAGACTAGGGTATGGTCGGATCAATCTAAAACTGCTTGCGCCGGTCCCCTGGTGTCAATAACCGTGCGCGCATGTTTGTGTTTCTTTAGCTGTATTTACTAGTGTTGAAACGAATAATGGAATAATCAAATAATTTAGAATATTCGTGGGGTGATTGAATAGTCGTAGGAATTATCAGAAATCGAAAAAAAAAAAGAAAAAGAAAAAAAACCTATGCTCAGTGCCGACCCTACTGATATTTGCACTGCGTAGATCTGCTCGTAGTATTTCTTCTCAAACTCTTCTCCTCCAAGTTTTAATCTCCTATCGGTATCTAGTAATACTTCTGTTCTTTCCATACGAGGGAAACATGGATGCAGTGAATGTGATTTTCGGTCTTTGACCACTTTCGACCAAGACCCTATGCAGAGCTGTATGGTTTTGCACCTCCACATAACAAAATCCGATAATCAGCAAAAAAATTTTTTTAAACTACTTAAAAAGTGCTGAAAAAGTGTTGAAAAATGCCATCATGTGTATGATAGAATATAGATTATTCGTTCGATGGAGGGCGAAATTATTCGATAGATTATTCGTTCGAAGAATCCGTGTTCGGTTTAAACACTAGATTTACTTCACCACGGGCACATGCAGTATCTGCCTTCTCACTGAGCATATCGCCACAGTTCTCGCAAACATATTGAACTGTGTGCGTGTGTGTGCGAGTGTGCGCATGCGCGCGTGTGTGTGTGTGTGTGTGTGTGTGTGTGTGTGTGTATGTGTGTTTGTATGCCTATCTTGTTCAGGCTGGTAATGGCAGGTTACAAGGTGTGTGTATGTGTGTTTGTATGCCTGTCTTGTTCAGGCTGGTAATGGCAGGTTACAAGGTGGGTGTAGTGCGGCAGGTGGAGAGTGCAGCACACAAGGCACTCAGTGACAAGAAGGGTGCGCCGTTTGAGAGGAGTTTGAGCGAGCTGTACACGCGAGCAACACTTATCGGTGAAGATATCCTTCTTGTCCTGCCCCCCCCCCCCCCAGTCTCCGGGTCCGGTCACACTACTACCCCGTCGTGTATGCTGTGCCCTTCCTCATCCTGGGTTCATGAATATCGGGACACAGTTTGTTTGCACTGGCGTCCATGTACTGTTCTACCAGCAGAACACTACTCTTATCTTGAGCCATGCATGACCAACTAATACTTCAAACCTTTAACAGCGTACATGTATTCATGTGGAGTTATCTTGGAGACAAAACAAAGGATGGAAATAAAGGAGCAGCAGTGGTGAGGCTTCCTGCAGCTTCATTTATAGGATGGCATGTCTAAGTTGGCGGAGGGCAGAGAAAAGTAGACGGACGGTTATCCCACAATGTTATAAGTAAGATGAGGTGTGCCGTCATTAGTGACTCATCACGAAACACAAGAAAGTCCAATGTAAAGCAACCGTAAACGTTTCTCGTGACAATCATAGCCTTGATTGAATTACTGTCTCCACGTTGCTTGTTTGTTCGTTGACTTTTTCATGGTCCTTGCCCATTTCTAGTAGATCTTCTCCTTGACCAGTATCGTCCCAGTACAGTTTGACTCGCCACTACACAGTCAAACGTATAACAAGAACACGACAAAGGCTGTGTCACCGCGATCAGCAGGAGCAGCAGCATGGTCGTCATCGCTAGACCGCTATGCTGCTTCGCATGACAGCGGTGCCGACGGTGAACACGATGTCACCGGTGCTGGTGATGATGTCATCAGTGCTGCTGGCGGCGACGGTGGTCACATGGCGGGCGATGGCTTCGGCGTCGGAGCTGCTGATGGCCAGGCAACGGCTGCTGAGGCATGGTCGAGTACGACCGATAGCTTCATGTTGTTCATTGTCGATACTGCCAGAGAGGATCTAAATGCGGAGGCGTCCACAACATCCCGTGACCACCAGCAGCAGCGGCAGCAGCGGCAGCAGCGGCAGCAGCGGCAGCAGCGGCAAGAGGCTTCTGCAGAGCATGTGGCAGTTGTAGTAAGTATGTTTTGAATGCTATCATATTTTCTGGAGTATAAGCCGTACCTACTCGTAGTGTTGTGGGTGGTCTCCTACGTTTCTCGTTGTAGTTTTCTCCAGTGCCGTCGTGTACTGCAGCGGTTGAGTCTTTGTTTACTTGTTTAGGATGCCTCCCCACTTTTACTTTGTTTAGGGTCGTTTCTATATACAGTGTACAGTGAGTCTATTATGCCTTTGTGTGTGGCCTACTAGTATGTCTTTTTGCCTTTCTGTACTCTGTCTGGTATGCGTGGTTATTGTTTTTGTTGTCTGTCTGTTCTCTCACTCTCGCTATCGCTCTCTCTCTCTCTCTCTCTCTCTCTCTCTCTCTCTCTCTCTCTCTCTCTCTCTCTCTCTCTCTCTCTCTCTCTCTCTCTCTCTCTCTCTCTCTCTCTCTCTCTCTCTCTCTCTCTCTCTCTCTCTCTCTCTCTCTCTCTCTCTCTCTCTCTCTCTCTCTCTCTCTCTCTCTCTCTCTCTCTCTCTCTCTCTCTCTCTCTCTCTCTCTCTCTCTCTCTCTCTCTCTCTCTCTCTCTCTCTCTCTCTCTCTCTCTCTCTCCTCTCTCTCTCTCTCTCTCTCTCTCTCTCTCTCTCTCTCTCTCTCTCTCTCTCTCTCTCTCTCTCTCTCTCTCTCTCTCTCTCTCTCCTCTCTCTCTCTCTCTCTCTCTCTCTCTCTCTCTCTCTCTCTCTTCTCCACCACCTAGGCCGTACAACCAGCGACAGGTGATCTTGTCTACTCAGTGTTTGCAGACGATGCGTCAACGCACTCAGCTGCTCACACACCTTGCTCACATCGTCCCCTGCGAGCTCATCATTCCTGCCGACCTCGGTGCAAGGAGTAGAGCTGCCATCGCATCTTATTGCAGCAACAGGTACATATACACGTCATGTACTGGTAATACGTATTAATACGCCCCCAGGGTCTAGCAAGGTCAAAATAAGTAGGGGTGGGGGGCAGGGGAAGCGGTTACCCCGTGACGCAGTTTTCCATTTTCCAAATTTGTCTTGCCATATAAAAGGCAACGTACGGGGCCGAACCCCTGATTTCTCCCCAGACTAAATGTGCCTTTGTGAATCCTCTAGTAATGGCTGTTGACTGTAGTTTCGTTGAATGGCATGATCAAACATGAACATCGACAAATCAGTGTTGGGTAGGGGGGGGGGGGGGGCACTTTTTCACTGGGGGCACTCAATCACAGTAGGAGGGCGCTGCGCCCCCTTTGTCTATAACCCTGGGCCCCCTTCGCCGCTTCGGTTGGTGATATTTCCTCCCCAGTAGTGGAAACTGCTAATTTTGTTTTGCGAAAGGAGTGATTCTGCTGGAAGTTGAGTTGTGCCAATCGAAAGTTTGCATTCTGTATAGTATACGGAATACATGTTCATGTTTTCCGGATACCCAAGTTATGGGCACTTCGGTCTTCCAGCCACTTTTGGGCGAGTGGAAATATTACTACTCCTTTGTTACTGTCTCTCTCTCTCTCATCTGTGATGTAATTCCTGAACCACTAGCTAGCTGGGTGTTCTGCACTCTTGAGGTTCGGAATGTCTCCGCATGTTATCGTGTCTCCCATATGGTCTAGTGGTTAGGATTCGGCGCTCTCACCGCCGCGGCCCGGGTTTGATTCCCGGTGTGGGAACATTTCTTTTTAGTGATCCTCTTTTGCATTAGAGGATCACTAAAAAAAGAAATGTTCCCACACCGTGCATGTGTTGGATGCTGGGCAGGCATTCTCGTTGTTTAGACGGTTATGTGTTGGATGCCGGGCAGGCATTCTCGTTGTTTAGAAGTGCATGTGTTGGATGCCGGGCAGGCATTCTCGTTGTTTAGACGTACAGTCAGACCTCGCTTATCCCGTCCCTCTTTTATCCGGATCCCTCGCCATCTGGAAGAAATCGTTGGTTACCGATTTACAGCATAATGCGATGCATGCATACAGTATGTGTGTTTGATAATCCGGTTCCCTCGCCTATCCGGATATTTTCGTGGAAAACGGATGTGTGCAGTTATGTGAGGGCTGACTGTATTGCTATCTTCTCGTTGTACATATGTTGGCATGCAGGAAGTCTCAGGGCGATCTTGTTCGTCTGGAGGAGGTGCCGACGGGGTGAACGATTACGGCACCTCGCATGGCTGCCTTGCAGACTTCTATCAGCTGTCGGTCATCTCGTCGTCAGTAGATCAGCTTAGCGATGGAGAGAGTAGTAGCAATGATGAGGACAACAATGACGGAGTTGTTACTGGTGAGGCCACCACCAATGGAGTGGGGCGGCAGCAGCAGCATTGGCAGCATCGACACAGCAATCCCTCAGCTCGTCAGCATAGTGGTGAGTGACAGGCCAGTGTGTGTGTGTGTGTGTGCGTGCGTGCGTGCGCGCGCATGCGTGCGTGCGTGTGTGTGTGTGTTGGTGCATGCCGGAGTATGTGGTGTGATGTGTGTGCGGAAAAAATGAAAAAGACCAAAAATAGGGATTTACTGGCCAGAAAAAGTCACTTCAAATAGCTGTATGGTGTAGACCAGGCTGAATAGTGACGGTCAATTCTTCAGCCTTGCAAGCTGTTGAATGGTGCAATCCCAGCACAAGTTGCTATGGCTTCTGCCGTAGCATAGCTATCATCGCTCCGGCGATGGGCGTCAAAGGTCAAAGGTGTGTGTGTGTGCGTGTGCGTGTTTGCGTGCGTGTGTGCATGCGCGTGTGTGTGCATGCACGTGTGTGTGTGTGTGTGTGTGTGTGTGTGTGTGTGTGTGCGTGTGTGTGTGTGTGTGTGTGTGTGTGTGTGTGTGTGTGTGCATGTGTGTGTGTTGTGTGTGCGTTGTTCCCAATACTTTACATATGCGATTATTCTTCGAACGACTCCCAGCCATGATCATCTTCAGAGGTTAGGACGAATCAAAGGAATTGTTTGGTTTTGTTCACATCCAGGAGAGCATTGGGAGTTTGTGAATGAATTACCGAAGCCGGTCATTGTCTGCTTGGGAATATGTCTGCGACACCTGAAGTAGTTTAGACTGGCTGGCTGCCTCAAAGATACACGGTCAGTTTAGCACCATCTTGGGTTGCGGATGTCTGCCTGTATGCCTGTATGCCTGTATGCCTGTCCGTTGTTCACAGTGTCCGTCATCTCCCTTTCCGTCGATTGGTTCGTTTGTTTGTGAATAGGTGCAGTGATGCCTCCTGCGTCTATGAGTTGTGTGTGTGTGTTTGTGTTTGTGTGTGTGTGTTTGTTTCTGTGTGTGTGTGTTTGTTTCTGTGTGTGTGTGTGTGTATGTGTGTGTGTGTATGTGTGTTCGTTTGTCTGCATCCTCTCTCTCTCTCTCTCTCTCTCTCTCTCTCTCTCTCCTCTCTCTCTCTCTCTCTCTCTCTCTCTCTCTCTCTCTCTCTCTCTCTCTCTCTCTCTCTCTCTCTCTCTCTCTCTCTCTCTCTCTCTCTCTCTCCCTCTCCCTCATTCTCTTCATTTCTTCCACAGGAACTTTGTTCAGTTCAGTATACGAGGCAACATATGACGTTGACAGAGCAGTCTCTACGCAGCTTGGAGATCTTTGCCAATGGGGTAAGTATTGGCTGGCTGCACGCTTGATGCTACTTGAAAGTCTTGTTTGACAAGTTCTGCAGTTGGCTTCTTGAGTTTGCGCTTTCCGGGTATGGACATGTGTTCATGTTTTTTTCCTTCTGTAAGTGTGTGTGTGTGTGTGTGTGTGTGTGTGTGCGTGCGTGTGTGTGTGCATGCGTGCGTCCGTGTGTGTATGTGTGTGACTGGGCGGATATATGTTTGCAGGTGGACGGCAGTGAACGTGGTAGTCTGTTTTCGACCATGGTCAACACAAGCACTGCGTTTGGACGCCGTCTGTTCCGTCTGTGGCTTGCAAAGCCACTGCTGAGGAGAA